AATATTAAAGTATATTATAGTATCTATAATTATACAATTTAATACTAATATTAAAGTATATTATAGTATCTATAATTATACAATTTAATACTAATATTAAAGTATATTATAGTATCTATAATTATACAATTTAATATTAATATTAAAAGTATATAATAGTATCTATAATTATACAATTCAAAAATATTTTCCGCTACTACAAATTAACAACTTAGAAGTTCAACAATGCTTTCAGTTTACATAAGTTACAGAGCTACAAGAGACATATATTCGAAAATTAATTAACTACAAAAACCAAGGTATATTGTAAGTAAAGCAACCATTCAAACCTTCTTGACATAGTTAGCTGCATCTTCTTCTGAATATGTTTCTGCACTGACCGCTCCACGCCGACCTCGCTGTGGAGGTGTAATGTGTGGTAGTGTCGTGATTTCATCATCCTTGTCATCACCAGGTGGTGTTTTTGGTTGTGCTTCAGCCTTACTTGCAGCTTCCTACGAGTAAAAGACAATCATTACTACAGTTCAGTGTTATAATTCTCAGTTATCTGAATAAATATGCTGATAAAGTATACTAAAAATATGATGATATTTTACCACTTTGACATCCAAAGTTTGGATAAGTAAAACACTTAATTTTGGGTGTAAATTGAATAATGTAATATTTATTTACATATTTGCAGTTTTTAAATTGTTAGAAATTCACTAAAGTGCACTATATCCCTGGCTTCATTCACATGTTAGAGAGTTTCGTGTGTGTGACAGCAACACCACACACAAAACACTATGGTGTTTTTAGATATTACCAGTAATGTTGCAATTTCTTAAGTGACCATTAATTTTTGCATCATTAACCAGAATATATTATTATCTTATAATAATGAGAAATATTCATAAATATCTACCACTATATTTTACTTCTGACACCTCCTAAAGACAAGATTTTAATTATTAAACTAAAAGATAACATTTGTGCAGACTTTAAAAACTATGTTAAGTGTAGCATCCAAATATCTTTTCTGCTACACTGTACTACCAGCTTAGGGACCACACTTCAACAGTGAGCACAAAACCTTTCTGTTTCTAAAAATATACACAGAGGGTTTCCTCTAGTTTTTAATATAGAATATACACAGAGGGTTTTCTCTAGTGTTTAATATAGAATATACATAGAGGGTTTCCTCTAGTTTTTAATATAAAATATACACAGAGGGTTTCCTCTAGTGTTTAATATAGAATATACACAGAGGGTTTTCTCTAGTGTTTAATATAGAATATACATAGAGGGTTTCCTCTAGTTTTTAATATAAAATATACATAGAGGGTTTCCTCTAGTGTTTAATATAGAATATACACAGAGGGTTTTCTCTAGTGTTTAATATAGAATATACACAGTGGGTTTCCTCTAGTGTTTAATATAGAATATACATAGAGGGTTTCCTCTAGTGTTTAATATAGAATATACACAGAGGGTTTTCTCTAGTGTTTAATATAGAATATACACAGTGGGTTTTCTCTAGTTTTTAATATAAAATATACACAGTGGGTTTTCTCTAGTTTTTAATATAAAAATATACATGAAGGGTTTCCTCTAGTTTTTAATATTTTTTTTTTCCAAACTGAACTCTGTTAAGATAAATTTTTAAGTTAGTTTTTATATATTGCCAAATTGTCATGTATCAGTACACATGGACCAGTGGCACCTTTAAGGTGGAGAATGAAGAAATATCAACTTTCAAAATTCATGCTTAAATAACAATTCTAGCTTTAATGTTACAATTTTTAACTCAAGAATATTTTAAAATTGATATTTTGTAACATTTATTTAGTGTAGGTCACAAATAAGATTGAAACAAATTTTCATTTCTGCTCAGCTCTAAGAAGTATTGTCTGGAAATAATGGATTTGTCTAGTTTTCAACGATGTAACTAATGCACTTGTCTACTTTATAATGATGTAAATAATGCTTTTGTCTACTTTATAATCATGTAAATAATGCACTTGTCTACTTTATAATGATGTATCTAATGCACTTGTGTACTTTATAATCATGTAAATAATGCACTTGTCTACTTTATAATCATGTAAATAATGCACTTGTCTACTTTATAATCATGTATATAATGCATTTGTCTACTTTATGATCATGTAAATCATGGATTTGTCTACTTTTTTAATGGTGTAAATAATGCATTTGTCTACTTTATAATCATGTATATAATGCATTTGTCTACTTTATAATCATGTAAATAATGCATTTGTCTACTTTTTTAATGATGTAAATAATGCATTTGTCTACTTTATAATCATGTAAATAATGCATTTGTCTACTTTATAATCATGTAAATAATGCATTTGTCTACTTTATAATCATGTAAATAATGCATTTCTCTTCTTT